AGGCCTCTTGGTAAAAATCGCTACGAGTAATGGTTCTCGAGATATTTGGAATCGAAGCTATCAATACCTGTCATCATTTACATAAATTAAACATGTTGTTGACTAAATAGTTATTAGACTGAAATCATAAATTTGAAATGTTTTTGTGCCAAAAGTTCAACAGAAACACTTTTATCATAATTTTTTCGAAGACAAATTTATGATTAATTTAAAAAAAAATAAAAAGTTCCCAAATTTATCATTTCAGTCAAATTACTATCTACTCAACATATGTTTATTTTATGTCAATAATGATATGTACTGACTAATTACATTCTAAATATCTTGAGAATGGTTGCTCGTAGCGATTTTTACCAAGAGACATTTATTACATAAAAAATCATACAGGTATGGACGAAAAGGTTTACTTACTCTACAAAAGAGTTAAAACACATGTAGGTGGCGCCACCTACAAGTAGAAGTCATATTGACATCAAAATCAAATTGTTCATGTCAAGAAACTCCCAGACACCAATTTTCATTTAAATATTGACGTTACTTCAGAAATTATATGGAAAAAATCGAAATAAAAATGAAACTTCTACACCCTGTATTTCCGAAACTAAGTATTTTAGGACACATATTTATACGAACTTTTTTACTTATTTTTATCTGCAGAATATGTTGCCGAAGTTTCCGGAATACAGTTCGGACCACCCTGTATAGTATCGACGTTGAAAATCCCATGCAAATTTGAAAGGTCTTTGTATAGACATGCCAAATTTTAACAATTTTGGACAAGCCGTTTTTAACTAACTTAAGAAAAACAGAATCTATTTTTGAATTAAAACTGAACAGATAACAATGCACCACCAGGCAAATATCAACACACCTTATGTTGTGAACCTATGATTTTGTCATTGTCAAATATAATTTTAAAATATTAATTTTAATATTTAACACTAATAGGAGTTTATGTAAATACATATTATTAGCTACACAATTGAAGAAAAAAATACCATTATAAAAAGGCTACTATGCGGGAAATATTTTAGGCATCAGTGTCTTTAACATGCTTTCAGTTAATTTTACTGATTTTTATCAATTTCTACCAAGTTGACAATACCAAAAGTTATTGCTGTTTTAAAAACTCATAATAACTGGTAAGCACAATAGACAATCGCGAGAGGACTGAAGACAATTATAATTATAGGGATCTGAATAATTTACTTCATGGATGTAAATAAGAATATTTATATAAGAAGTATTGGTAAAAAAGTAAAATAACATCATAGCACAGTACTAAAAACTCAAAAGAAGCATAAATATCATTCATTGTATTCACCCTGTATTTTTTAATTAGTACTTTTGCTGTATATTACTTATATTTGCCTGGTTTTCCATTGTTACTTGTTCAGCTATAATTTAAAAATAGAAATATGGAAGTTTTTCTTAAATTAATTAAAGTCAGCTTGTCCAAAATTGTTCAAATTTGGCAAGTGTATTCAGCATATTGGCTGTAAATCAACAGGGGAACCAATATTTGGAAAGTTCAAAATTTGCATGGGATTTCCTATGTTTCTAACAACTGTGCACCACCCGTCAGATAGATAACTAGAGCTTTGCAAAGGCTTTATAAATGCTTTGCTTTAATGCAATCTATATTATTATATTATTACAAATTTTTGTCTATTAGATAACATTTTATAGTACTATCAGTTTATATTATAAATTCATATTAAATGAATGCGATATAAATTATAATTTCAATCAGTTTAATTCTATAAAAAGTAATTGTTTTTTTAATTGTTATACAAAAAGTTTCATTAATTTGTTTCAATGACATAATTATTAAATTCCAGTTAGGACGTGTTTTGTCTAGAATATTTAAAAGAAAGAAATCCCATTTTTCATTTTTTTGACACCTTTTCTTCATTTAAAACATTCAATGGGTTGTATTTTTTGGGCCCTTTATTGTGTTTTGGGCTTCTGTAATGCGAAAAAAAGGTTCAAAAATATAACGACCCAGTGTTTGTCAAATGGTGATGTATTTATGGGATTTAATATTTTTGTTTGAAAAATACAATATATTGCCAGTAGATTTATTACTGATAAAACTGTTGGAGTAAAATATATGATTTAAAAAATACACCTTTTAATATAGTTGCTTTCAATATTTTTAGAAGAAACATATGAAAAATAAATTTGTTTAAACTAAAGCATTATTGGGAATTAAGTAACTCTATCTAAGTTTCATATCGGCCAGATCACATCAAAAAATATACAGGGTAAGTCTCAAATAAGCGCAATTATTTTTAGTGGCAGTATAGTATGGAAACCCGCCCATGAGGTTTTTTCGCAAACAAAATTTTTTGAAATTTTGAAATTTTTTGAAAAAAAAATTGGAAAATGTTTTACTTTTAAGTTAATAACATAATTTAATGATAATATGACAACATATAGGTATACCAGATTAAATTTACAAAAATTAAAACCCTGGAAAGGTCAAGTGGTTCTCAAAATTTAAGCAAAAATCATTTTTTTAATTATCAAAGTAAAATAACTCGGTTATTTTGGACTTATTTGAAGAACGGTAAAATATGTTTCTTTTATCGATATCTACTACCCCTGAAAATATTTGCACTTATTTAAGTCTCACTCTGTAGAATTTTTTATATTACTAAAAATATATCGAACAATTTCAAAAATAATTAGTGACCATATTTTTTCGAAAGGATAATTCCTTTTTAAAATTTTTGCCACCTATAACTACAAACATAAAAATCAAATCTTTAGAAAAAATTATTAAAGTAGATAAATTAGAACTTCAATCTGTTTAAAATTAAAAAATTAAAATATTTTAAATAATGTTCCTAATGTATTCTATAATATAATTTACACAGACAAATTTTTAGTCAGGTATACTATTTAATTTTTTTATTTTAATTTGTCAGCTGTGACACAAGTTGGGTTTCTGGAATTGTATATCCATATTGCATAAAAACATCTACTACAGCTCTATACACACGTTTAAGTGAATACTTTTTTTTGTAATTTCTCATACAAAAGAATATGTTATATTGAATTTAGGTACCTATATAGGTGTATGGAAATATAAATAACAAATTATTTGCTTAATTTTTAAAGAAGTAGGTATTAAATATACTTACCCTTAAGTGAACCGCTGCTGATTGTCCATCAGAGCCGGGTATATAGTACTGAGGTTTGCTGCTGAAGTATCATTTACCATACACTCTGTAAAAAAAGAAAAACAATTATAAAACAAATTAAATTCTTAGACATAAAACATTTCTGCAATATAGGACCATTATTGGTATAAAGGAAACAAAGTGAGGCAAACCAGTAAATATTAGTGAGATCAAGTTTACTTACATTTTCAACAGAAATATAAGATATTTTATGTTGTCTTCTGCATTTTCATTTGACATGCTAAAAAGTCCTCAAACATTCACGACCCGATATACTCTTATCAGGATAAACCGACCATGCCCCCAAATGAATATCTCGAAAGAGAAACATTTAGGTAGCATATCTCAGGGTGTATATTTTTAGTTTATGATAAACTTTTCAAGTTTTCTATAAATGAAATATCGCGTCCGATATAAGAACGCATATAGCGATTACCGAAAGTCTATATATTACAAAGCGTAGATTAGCAATAAATCTTCGCTTTTCAACCGAATTTTCAACTTTTAATCACATTTTAACACTAAAATCTCTTATAATAAGTAAAATTAGAGACCCGCTTATTTGAAGGAATGCTCAATATGGCCACCTACCAAAAAACAAATGAAACTATCGTCTCGCATTTCTCGCGTCAAACTGCAGCGCCATCTCTATGTGAAGTAGCACGTGAAACTTTTAGAATTAATAATTTAAAAAAGTTTAAAATTCTGTTTTAAAACGTAAAAGTAAATTAGCTAAACATTTATTATTCATTAGCCTATTTATATATTTTAAATATATATTTTAAAGGTATATAAGAATTAAGAACAAAAAATTAAAATTAAATTTAAGGGTATACAACCAGTAATACCTCATCCCATCATAACAAAAACTAATAATTATTTTTATACTAAATTTATTTTCGAATGGACGAAAATTAAAAGATACAAAGCCATAATACAAAGTTATAAAAACAATCTGGCTAGAAGAATATTATAACTCTGAAGAATTTGGATTTAGATATCAATACAGGGCTTCATTTAACCATTCAAAATGTGTTTAAAACCTAAGGGAATTGGAAAAATTATCAGAGAAGATTGAAACTTTATTATATTTTACAAGAAGTTAACTATAAATACAAGAAGAATAGTAAGAAATGGGAGAATGCATTACCCCTTATGGACAGAACCGGTAAAAATCATGAAGTCTACTGGTCCCAATACTGGTCCAAACGGATTTTACAACAGTGCAATGCAACATAAAGTATAATTGAAATCTTAGAATTGGTGTTTTCAATAGTTTACCTATAACTTGACATCTGAGAACTGACCAAATATATTTAAAAAGAATCTAAAAGAATATATCAAATAAATCTATGTTGAAGTTAATTTAAGATTGTTAAGCCATGTGCCATGTATACTATTCTGTTATTACCAAAATAACACTCATTTCATAGAGTTCTTCTTTATCAATGCTAATAAGCATTGATTGGAAGATACTTTCATTTAAACTGTAAGTAAAAGAAATATGTAAATGTAACTAAATATTGTGGGTCTAAATAAAGGATATTTTAAATAATAATAAAAAAATAAGTATTGAAGACCTGTATATTAAATAAAAAAATAAAAATTAAATGTAGAGTTAGGTACCTATATATTGTAGTTTTTTAAAGACCAAATTTTTTTTAATGAATGTAAAGTGAAAGATATTTTAGTAGGTCAATATTAGATTGTTTAGAGAAATATCTGGTATCTATCTGCATGATATATTCATAGTTTCAAGAAGTAAAATATTTCCTAGATAAATTTTCGTGTAATTTTGAAATAAAACAATAATTTTAATTAATGTATTTGTTCATTTAATAAAGTACTAGACCCATTATATTTGACCAGGCAGTCATAGGCAGTTTTCTTCGCAGTCATTGGCAGTAAAATGATATTTTGGCAGTACATGTACATGTAAAGTTTTATACAAAACTTAAAAATCTTTTTTTCACATAAGAATTGTTTGTAATTATATAAAGCATGGCAGCTAATATGTATCCTATATTGAATGTTCTATATAATAAGGGGGCATCATTAAAGTCACTGTTTGATAATGCACTTAATAATTTAACTGATTTGGGTCCAACAACATTTAACACAATATATACATTGAAGTAACGTAATTTAAATGGGGGTACAGTAGCCTTCTCTCTCATTGGCAAATTTGTCGTTATCCACTCGTATACCCTGGTTTGTTGACTTAGTAGGAAATACCATAAAATAACTGAAAAATAAGGTTTATTTCAGAATAAATTAATATCTGAGAGTCATAAAATAATAAATATAAGATCTTCGTAATCACCTCTGACATTTGTGAACAACCTACAGGTATCAGGAATATCTTTATCGTTCGAACATATTCTCTGACGATTTCTATTACCTCGTTCCCAAAATATTTACACATATCTTACGCAAAAATATGTACAATTTGGAAAATTCTATAATTTCATATCAGATTATCTTGATAATTTTTTACATTTTAATTTTCCTCCCAAAGTAATTTTTAGTATATTATATTTTTTTTTATTATTTGGTATATTTTACTTTGACAGATTGGATAAGATCACAGAATAAGATTGATTATTGATTGGTTCTACGTGGTTCTACGGGAGGTGAATTACTGGTTGTATAACCCAAAAATTAATTCTTTGTTCTTGTTTTATCTTCAAAATATATATTTAATATAAATATAAATAGAGTAGCATATTCCAAATGTTGGTATAAAACAATTTACTTTTACGTTTTAAAATGTAATTAAACCAAGGATATATAGAAGAAGGATATTCAACTCCCTATAGCGGGCTATGTAGGAAAATATGCCGTATTTTGTCGAGGAAGACGATTACGTCACGACCAATGAGCGTCGAGTATTTGAAATTGAAAACATATAAATTGACGGTAACCTATGTTTTTTGACTCATTTCACTGACAGATGTGATGAGATTATTATTGTAATTTATAGATCCAAACAATGCCTTCTATTAAAAGATCAGCCTACGGGCGGACTTTTGTTTACTTCATCAGCTGTACATACTTAGATATTGGGTTAGATTCCGTTTCATATTTTGTCGGTTGATTTTTGGTTTTAACTCTTTGATTTTTGGTATTATTTATTATTGTAGTGCAAAAAACTAATTATTTTGGTGTTGAAGTGACATAAACTACTACCAGATATATGGTCACTCTCGGTTTCGCATAAAAAAATAGAAATTTTAAAAATTACACGTTGTGCAAGTGATTTAACCTAAAAGTGCCCATACATTTTTTACTTATCGTGATTTTTGTGTGTGTTTTTTAAGACTCTAACAATTCATCAATAAAGCTTAAGTGGAGTGTGTTATTGGTGCTATGCCTCATCTTTGTTGTGTTCCTGGTGGAAAGGATAGTTACTAAGGATAGTTATTATACTAGGCAGCCTAAAGTGTCCGGAAGAGCAAGAAAAGTGGGTACGAGTTATAAATCAAGAGAATTTTATTGAAAATATCTTTAATAAATTTAAAAATAATATTCTCCCATGATGGTATTAATGAAACTGGACAATTATGTTTATTTTATTCATATTGTGGAATCTCCACTCCAAGTGTTGTTGGTTCAGCTTCGATAGATTCAAACACGTAAGTTGGTATTATGATCTAGGGAAAAATAAAGAATATGTGTATTAAAGATCATGAAAAAGATTATTATTTTGAGTTCAAATTTTAAAAAAGATTTTTGTAAAGACAAGACTGATACAGTTTAAAAGAAGAATGTGTTTTTGTTTGATAATATATAATGTATGTATTATTTATAATACCAAATTAATATCAAATATTTAAGTGATGGCTGAATACAATATGAATAAAATAACAATAAAATTGGTATATTTGCATAATACAAAATTAAGTTTTAAGAATAAAGGTGTTACTAAAAATACTAAGAAATTCATATTTATTTGTTTTAATTGGTCTAATGTTATTTACATTTTATGTAAGAATTATACCGTATCATCGAAAAAAATCGGCGTCTAGTTGGCTTGGAAATGAACATCGATGACATGCCCTAAATAACTGTACACATAAAATAATTAACTAGAATTTTACAATCTTGGAAAATTTGATATTCTTGAATCTTGTTTCTAAATATACTAAATTTTTTGATTTTCTTGGGATTTAGGTTCGGGAAAAACGCTGATTAAGTTTTCATTTGGTTTTTCATTATTTTTATTTGGTTTAAAAAAAAAACGGTTCGGCTAACATTATAGCCTTCATCAGTGTTGTGTCATATGAAAAAAATAGTGTCGAATATAATCCAAAAAATTACATATAAAATATTCATACCACGCACATAATGTTTACTGCGTACTGCGTACTCCATAGTCAATGTAGATAATTTTAGTGTTAAGAATAATAATTTTAAAAAATATGTGGTCATGTTTTGATTAGTTTATATTAGTTTATTAATTGCAGTAAATATTATGAGGTGTGAATTATATTGTATATGTAATTTTTTGGATTATATTCGACACTATTTTTCTCATATGACACAACACTGATGAAGGCTATAGTTAGCCGAAACGTTTTTTTAAACCAAATAAAAATAATGAAAACCCAAATGAAAACTTAAATCAGCGTTTTTCCCGAACCTAAAAATCCCAAGAAAATCAAAAATTTTAGAATAATTTTACATATAAAATGCCAGCGATCTTCATTTCATAGCCATCGCTGACGCCTTTTTTAGATAATATTGTATTATTTGTAAATATAATTTTTCGAAGATTGATACTTGCAAGATATACATATAAATTTTGTGAATGCAAATAATAATACATCACTATTATTAGATATTGAATGTTTTTTGTTAAATTAGATCGATTTTCAAACCCCAAAATTTAAAATATATTTACATTTTACCCATTATGTTATGTACCTATACACTATTTGTACATCGTAAAACATTTGCTGCATTTGTATGGTTCATAGTTTATTTGCCAAAGTATTTATTACTATAAATAGGTATATATGTTGTAGTTATTAACTGTATATTATGTATATTTCATTTAAACTATATCATTTTTAAAATACAAACCAAAAATCTGAGGAATAATTATGTTTTCCATGTATTCTACAACATATTTATTAATCCGTTATATCTAACTAGCGTGACGTCATAAATCTCGCCCGCAGGCTGATCTTTTAATAGAAGGCATTGATCCAAACGTTTTTTGAAAAAATAATGTATTTTAAAGTTATTTCCTAGAGTTTGGTTTGGCCTTCTATATTTTGGTATTTGTCTATTAATAAATAATATCTTATTTTGTATTTCGATGTATGGAAATCCGCAAGTTTTGTATCTGAAGCCGCAAAGAAATTTCGCTCTATAGTGAGAAAAATGTTATTATATCTTTTTAGACGTGTAGAATTACAAAATTTCTTATTTCAGATGTTCTAAATGTGAGTGCATGTCAAAAATTTAAATATATACTTGATATATTATTTCAAGTTATATGCTTTGACATTTTTTGGAAGTAAACAAATATTGAAGAAAGGGTGCTTGTCAGATATAACACCCTCCGAATTTTGTACTTTTTTTTATATCACTCGAAAGCATACATAGAAATAAGTATTTCAAGCCAAAAAAAAGTGTGGATGATCCATAATTTAATGAAAAAATAAACATCTAATTATTGCTACAACAGGCTACTTTCTATGCGAAAACTCCTCCAAATTTTGTCGGCGTTGCCAGATTCATTCATTTCTTCTTGAAAGGTTCATTAAAAAAACACGTGCTGGTCGGAAGAAAACTCACGTTAACAACAGACTATGACAACAGATTATTTTAAAATCAAGAAAAGGCGATCGTCTGAGGAACTGCTCCTACCCATAGCTGATATTTTGCCTACGAGATCTGACTATTTATAACTACAAAGTTGCACGAAAGAGTTTTGATTGCGTTGGTTTCAACTTGTTTGGGGGTTAATCTGTTGTTTTTTTATATTTTAATACGAATCTGAGTGCTTTCAATATCTTGATTTTAAAATAACTTATAATCTGTTCTTATCGTGACAGCGCTACTGTATAAGGATTTGTTCGTCCGGCGACCGGCACGTAAAATCAAGTGAAAGCAATCAGATTCGTATTAAAATAAAAAACAAAACAAAAGATTAACACACTCACGGAAAGGTTGAAACCAACGCAATCAAAACTCTTTCGGTCTCAACTCTTTTTTTGTATCATGTAACGTACCGAATGATCGAAAAAAAACGGCGTCAGCCATGGCTATGAAATGAACATCGCTGTCATTTTATATGTAAAATTATATGGGGAATGTCATCGATCGTCATTTCCAAGCCAGCTGGACGCCGTTTTTTTTTCGATCATACGGTATTATGTATCATACAAACAAGAGAAATAACTTTGGCAACAATGCTTAGGCAGCTTACATCCTTAACAACAAATGGTGACAGACGGCTCCGGCGGCAAGTTTGAATCGAAAGAGTAAATTGATCAGGCAGTATTACAAAAGATATCACCAACTCTATTTTTGACTTATGACTTATTAATACTTCTCACTGATTAATTCTGACCTTTATATTAATAAAAAATGCATATAATCGTCATATTTTACAATAATTACACGCTTATACAACTTCACCATAACCTAAAAATGCACTTTTAATTTATTTGTTTTTCAATAATTTGTTGTTCATCCGCAATTTTTTTTTGCTTAAAATTCTTATTGAAGTGTATGCTTTCGACTGATATATAAATAAATGCCAAATTCGGAGGGTGTTATATCTGACAAGCACCTGAAGAAAGTGTTGTGCCTTCACAGAATTTAAATTGGCATTAGGAATAGATTTCCTTGATTTAGTAATGATATTGCTCATAGAAATTGATAATGTGAAGAATAACAATACAGGAACATAGAATAACAAGAAAGAAATTCTAGCAGGAAGTTAGGTTATGAGATAAATTGTATTTATATAGTTTGTTTAAAGAGTTTAGTTTGAAAAAAAGGTAAAACAATTATTATTCTCCAGGTCATTTGATAACTGTTGTTAATTGATAACATATTACAGGGACACAGTAAAAAGACAAAACATTTAGACCCTTTGAAAGAGAAATGTTTGCAATGGATATTAATAAATTCTAGCCAATTTGTATGATGTACAATGCAGGCAATATTTCTGCCTCTTAATGCACTATTCGCGTAAAAGAAGATGTGGGTATTGTATTTATAGGTAGTTAATGATATATGGAATATATTTCTATATTATTGCAATAACGATGTCTTTATGTTGTATTTTTTTAGAACAGATTTATTATTAGTTGGCTAGTGTGTTAGTAGGATAGCCATTAGTAGTTATAAAGTATGAAGTCGTCAGGTATTAATAATAGGAATTGATCAAAGCTTATACATTTATTGTGATATTTATATTGTGAATTTAAGTAGTTAGTTTTGGTTGTTTAATAAACGAATTAATATGCTTATTGTGTGTCTAATTAAAAGAACAATGAAAAGTTGAATACCATAGGGGTACGTATGTTATACAAAGAATTTGCATTAACATTTTTTTGGTTATATACTTGTACTGATGTTTG